ATAATAAAATTTACCATTTTGGAGTTATCGGCAATAAACGCTCAGACTCATTACTGTCATTGTAACCTACTGCACAGCAGCCATTTTTGGTGTTGTTTGCATCAGGGCATGCGCAATAATCAAGATAAGTGAATGTCATTTCCGCAGCAAATATATGCAAACAACGCCAGTAATGGCTACCGCGACGCGAAAGTGTCCGAACTTTTATTGTCGAGAACTCCAAAAAGGTAGATTTTATCAAAATTTCTTTGTTATTTTCGAATCATGTATATTTGCACGTAAATATAACTATTCGTGAAGTTTTTATTAGATAATAGCGCGAGGTTTAAAAAGCAAATTACCCGAAATTTCAAGTTATTTCAGTGTTTTACAGCAAGATTTTGATGAGAGTTTCTTGATGTTTTACAGCTAAGTTGAACACCATCAACCAGAGAAAAGTATCCATATTAATACCCGTTCCGTGGTATCTGATTGCAATGATTGAATTCCTGTTAATTGCTCTGATATTATAGGAACTCTTTGATCGCGCGCGAAATAGAAATAGAATCATGTGTAATTATTACTAATACAATTGGATTAGGTGTGAAACGGCTGAGGTGTTAAATTTCGTAAAATTTGGGCTGTTTGATCACAAAAATCAAGGTAAAACGTGTGAAAAAGGGGTGTAATTATTAAAACAAATTAGGACCCACCTGATGATCTCTGTTTGTTCTGTCTATCGTAAAAAAGATGGCCCAGAAATTGGTAAAATAGGGTGGAATTTCTAAAAAAGTGAGCGATATTGAGGGTAAGAGAGCAAAATCTTGGAGTCCACCACCTTCCGGCAGCACACCAGTTACCGCGGTAAACTGGTTCGCCTAATAACAGTGGACTACTATATATTAAATTGAACTATATTCTTTTCACTGATATTACCGGAGTCGCGATATTGATTTTTCACAAAGTCCAAGAATCCGTACAGATTTAGGGCTTTAGGTATCTGAGATATGTTGGCCTCCACCCAAAATGTTCAGTATCACCCGAAATACAAATATTGACGGATGAAGAGAGTGTGGAAAGATTCTAGTTGATTTTCTTTTCACTCGAAGTGGAATAAAAACAAAATAAAACTCCCGTTTTAGGTTTTAATTCACTGCAAAAGACAGGAAAAGGGTTCTTTTCGAACAAGAGTTATTCCTGGGTCCCCAAAATGTACAGATAATGTAAATTAATTTCGAACGCGTTTTCTGATTCAGAGAAGTCAGGAACCATTCCAACATTGTTTGCCAGAAGCGTGGAATAAAGATAATCCTGAAGTGGACAGCTTATCGTTGATTAAAATCTCTCTCCGTTTGTTATTATCAAAATATATACAGCTTCATTATCTGTCGTCCGTCAGTGTTAATTAACCTTCATTTTTCCAGATGCCATTACCGACGTGAGCACGATAAACAACCTGCATTTTATATTCGAAAATTCCATATAAACACATTTGAAAAGACAGTTCCAACCTTTTATCTTGTATAGCCGAATGGTCACCACATCCGCCATAAGATGATCCCTGACTGCCTAACTAATGCTTGTTACTGCAGGCAGTACACAGGATCGAAACCCTACTGATTTGATATCAGTCGGAGATTTTCCCTCAAAATATCAGCTCTTGGCATAGAGGAAGGTGAATTTTGACGTATTTATTTTTTCAATAAACACGCCAGTGATATATTATGTTGTCGTACATGAAATGAAGTACTTTATAGGAAATAAATAAAACGCTTCTGAAATGTTAAATAACTAATTTATTTATTTGAAATAGACACCATGTTGATGAGTGTTCTCCAATGTACCTCTAAATTCTTGATCCCATCTTTAAGAAAATTATCATTCATGATAAGCAGTTCAAATGCTTCAATTACTTCTTCCGTAATGGAGAATGTTTTACTGCGTATAACAATCTCAAAATACTTAAATAAGTGATAATCAGTCGAGAGATATCAGGGGGAAAGCCTATATCCAATAAAGGACCTTCAAAGGCTAAGAAAGAAAAGATAGCAGAAAGGTTATCCTTGACAAACTGACTACGTAGGGCCTAGTTAGCGTTCAACGTACGTAAATTTGACAGTTGATTGAGAAGCGTGCAGCCCGTTTAGTTGTCATGCAGCAAAATTAGTCCATCCTTATTCATAAGTCTAGGATGTTTCTTTTTCAAATTTTGTGCATACAATCAATTTCCCCAAAGTACGAGGTTGCTGTTATTGTTTTCCCTTGAAACCAGAATGAATAATGAATAACCCCTTTGAATGACCACCATGCAACAACCATAGCTTTTGGGTATTGTTTTGATTATTCACTTACATCTAATCAAATGGTATCCATTACTCATTGCATCTAATGATTCGATACAAAAACGGTTCTTTTCCCCAGTTTGTACTTATACAGTAAACTAAATCGACATTGTTTCATTGAAATCATTTTCATTGGACTTATGAGTAACAATATATTGAAAGAAATATTATCTGGAAAGTAAGTGAATTGGGAATAAATCAAGATTTTTTTCTATACTGAGGCTTTTACTTCGTAAAAGAAGACTAGATCAACAACCAGAAATGCGTGACTATATATATATATATATATATATATATATATATATATATATATATATATATATATATACAGTTTTAAGGTGTGCTATATTTATGGGATAAAGAGGTCAATATCAGAGATCGAGCGTATGCAAATATAAATATAAAAGTGAACATTGAAATCAACACTCAGAAGCGACAGGCTGTTTCATGCATATATATATATATTCTACATAAAGCTTCTCCTATTGAAGAGGCAGTTGGGGATGGCGAGGAACAGATCCAAATATTTACCCAAAAGTTAACTCGGTGTAAATGACTGGGATTTGAACTCGACTCGATCTTCATTGCGAAGCGCTATACAGCTATGAATTACACCATCTACACAGCAACAGAAATCTAGATTAATAACAATAACTAATAATAAAATATACTAATATACAGTTATAAAAGTTGTAAAAAAGAAAATTTGTTTTAACTGTAGGTCTAAAAGTACTTTGTTTTCCTTCTTAATCGAGAACTTCAAGCAATTAGATTAAATTTGATAACTTTTATTTCGATATAGATTTTGTTCTTTTTTATCATTAGGTTACTGACTTCACAAATGGAATCACATATCAGCTTAGTGCAAACAATTAAACTGAAGTAAAGCGTTTAATAAAACTATCTTTTTTGCTGCTAATTATAAAAGATATCTTAAAATTTTGAGGAAAGTTACCTCAATATAGAAAAGAAGCTAATATTATAATGAAATTGATAATGGAACATTACTCACTCACTCCCTAATGAGCTCACACCCACAGTAATATACACGCTTACACACATCATACTCAGTCACTCCCTAATGATCCAAATGATAACACGCACCCATAGTAATATACACGCTTACATATATACTCACTCACTCCTTAAGAACCAAATAACACACACACACTTAACAGAGACACATCCTCTTTCCGATAAACTGTCAAAATGACCAAGGGAATTCAGAGCAGCATGAATCCATCCAGCTCTTATCTTAAATAACAACTTAAAAGAGACTGTTTGACCAACACAAGAACTAACCAAAATTCATGTTAAAAAAATTAAAAAACAACAAATGAAAACTACAGACAAAAGTTCATTTTCTTCATCAAGATATCTATTTGTGTAGTTTACTGCTACCAGCAAGCAGAATTTTTTTGTTCTGATGATGGCCATGTTGGCCGAAACTAGTCGAGGAATCTAAATGAAATAATAATAAAAACGAAAGAATATTAATATACCACCCAGTGTTTGAAGATTTTAATTACTTAATATGTTTTATTGTTCTATATATATATATATATATATATATATATATATATATATATATATATATATATATATATATAACAATAAAACATATTAAGAAATTAAAATCTTCAAATCTATATATATATATATATATATATATATATATAGAACAATAAAACATATTAAGAAATTAAAATCTTCAAACATATATATATATACTGAACAATAAAAAATTCAAAAAAGTAGGTATACATTAATGAAAAACAAAACGTGCGCACAAAACGCATTGTTTGGATTATAAAAGCATATCAATAATAAACATATCAATAATAAACATATCAATAATAAACATATCAATAATAAACATATCAATCCCTCAAATGTTGAAACTATTTACCTCCATCATTCACACATCTCTTTACCGACAAGACATTTATTATTATTATTTATTAATAAATAAAGATTATAATGAAAGCATGAAAATACAAATTCTGAAAATAAAACTATTAAATATGATTTCAATGAATACTAGTATTAAATGAATCCTGGAATCATTATTATAATACTGATAGTAGCGATATAATCCTCTCTGTATACCTACTTTTGCAGCCACCTGTATTGTAAGGATTTCATTCGGGTTTACTTATTTGTTTCAAGTTTCTTTTTCTAAGTACTATATGTACGATTTATAATTTCATTCTTTTATTATATATTTTGTAATTTAAGGAGGCTTTCAAAAGTTATTTCATATGAAATACTTACGAAACTTAAACTAGTATTAATATTTTAGTGTAAAATTCTCATTAAGTCGAATTGTATTGTTAGATTTTATTTTTAATGTCGTGCAAAAATGTTGAGGATCCTGTTTAATCAACATCTTTTTTTCGTGGATTGATCTATTTTCTGCGGCTTATCAACCCTTAGCAGATTATTTAAAGCCAGAAAATATTTTTTGATTGTAAGATATTTCTTTTTTTGGCGATAATAATCATTTAATGATACAAGTCCTACTAATTAACCTATAGCTGGGGAGGGAAGAGATGGATTCATACCTTCCCTAAGGGTATTTACACGTCAGTGAATATAACAAACGCAACGGGAATTGAAATCGGCTCGCCGATTAACAATTCCGAGCCATTATCCATTAGACCACCCGCACATTTAAACTGGTATTCCCAAGATGTCACCCATCTAAGTACTGACCAAGCACGACGTCGCTTAACTTCGACGCTCGTACGGTAACCGGTGTTTCAACGTGATAGTCACTTTTTCGTGCGTTATCATGACAATGGTTTTGTGGATAATGTAAAGCTTAGTGGCTTGGACCGAGAAATCAATGAGTCGAGTTCTATTTCCGACCGAACATGTTACGCTTTCTTTCACAAAAATATGAATCCCTCTCTTCTTCCCACAGCTATGTTTTAAATAGCTGGGCTGAAATGACAACCTTATTTTGAGGTGACAACTAATCTAGGAGAAGGAAAGTTCTGAATACAAAATCACAGAGGGATACAGCGTTTCTGCTATGGCTGAAGTACATGGGGTGAGCATACAAGTGGCGTGCAGAGTTTTGGTGATGTTTGATGATGCCCTGAGCCAACTCCATGATTGTATGCCTCTAAGACTGATGGGGGGTTATAGGGACTATTACTGAGAAATGTGAAAAAGGAAAACATTTTAAATATGTAAAAACAGATGAAACACGGAATAAACACTCCATACAAATTAAATATAGGTTGTTCCAAGAACTTGGACCGATTTTAAAGGTGAATTAAGTTTAAGCGTCTAATGATTTTTTTTTCTTTTTCTTTCAGATTTAACTACTTAAGTCATTGGCAATTTCAACAATGGAAAGATTAACAATCAAACAACGTTAAAGTTATCGAAACCTATTACGAAAATGGACGTTCATATTTATAAATATACGACCCAATAATTCCACTAACAAAAATGCACACCAGTGACCTTTTGTAGATGCAGTGGCTTTTCAACAATCTTCCTTGGATTTACATCAGCCCAAATTTAACAATTCTGCTTATTAACGAATCCACCAAGATGAAAATGGGCTTCATCACCTAAGAGGATTTTTTGTGAATTATCTTCATTGTCCATGTCTTTGCTCGTGAATCCAATTGACGAATGTATGGCGCTCCAGTTGGTTAACAGGTTTCAGTTCTTGTGTCAATTGAATTTTGTAAGTGTGCGGAGACAAAGTTTTTGCTAAAATTCGATGTAATATTTGCGGAAGAGGTTTAATTCCCGCGCGACGATGACAGAACACGAAAATAGCTGACCTTAATACCAAGTTCCTTGTGAGTCTTTTCGAAATATAGACGGTGAAACTAACTGAAAGGAAGATTTTTGTGAAATATATATATATATATATATATATATATATATATATATATATATATATATATAATCATTTCACTGCAAGCAAGATATTAATGACACTAAGACACAAGGAGTTACTGAGTGTTAGAGAGTATGATAGAAAAAACATACACTTAACAAGATAGGATAATAAAACAAGAATTAAGAAGATGGAAGATAACGAGCTGTTCGACTTGAAATCCGCGAAATGTTTAATCTTCTTCCTTATAAATTACATACTGTAATTCTTTCATTTTGTCTCGTTCTTCCTTCATATTTCCTTTTCTTTTATTTATATTTTTACACGCATTACTCTGTTTTTTTTTGTTTTTTTTTTGTTGAGGTGTTATTATCAATTTTTTTCAAAACTTAATATTTTGATATGGTTTTTGATGTCGTTGATGTTTTTCTGTTGTTCTTTCTCGATTCTCCCATCGTTTTCTCCCATACATATTTCATTCGTTAATTTCTTTTTCAGTTTCGCGTTACAAATCATTTTATTCGTCTGTTCTACGCTGCCTCTCTTAATCAACTTTAATTATTTTAAATTATTTTCTTCGTTTTTAGTTTCATTGGATCTCTTTCATTCATTCATCCTTCTTTCTTTCTTTCATTCTTTTTTCTTCTTTTCTTTCTATTTTATCATTGCATTACATTTATTCATGTTTCATTTTAAAATTTAAAAAATATATCTTCCTTTATCATCTTTTTCTTTCTTTCTTTCTTTCTTTCTTTCTTTCTTTCTTTCTTTCCGATTGATTTACATTTTATTTTTCATCCCTTCCCATTCATTTACATATTTTAGTGTTTCCTTTAAAAGAAAATCTTTCTTTTTCTTTCTTTCTTTCTTTCTTTCTTTCTTTCTTTCTTTCTTAAATTACGTCTTCCTATACTTGTTCACTTTCCTTTAGTCCTTAGCTTCCAGCAAGATTAATTTCTATAATTTTGTATTCATCTTGAAGATACGCAATATCAAAAATTACAAAGGAAAGGCGTCAGGCGCATTACATAATGGTTTCATATAGAGTAAAGGCATAAAACTAATGAATGAGAAATGAATGAACACCCTGCAGTCAGTACAAGCGATTCTTTTAATGGTGCATTTCAATATATTACAGCAGGTGAAAAATAGGTTGAAATGCAAAAAGAGTAAATCAAAAAATGCTATCCTGCAGGAGAATGACGTATTACGCCTTCTGAATATGAAGTGGAAACATTATATTGAATCATTTGCTACGCCTGCTGCAAGGAAGATTGGTTCACTGTGTCGTACTAGACAATTTTTCTTGACAAAATCAATCTTACACATTTATGTCTACTATTCGTGCATGCATTGAATGTTACTGCCACATCTAGCCTGGTGCTTCTGCTCTGTATTTAGATATTCTTGATAAATTACAAAGAAAAATCTGCAATTTTATAGGTCCCGACTTTGCATCTCGCCTTCCGCCATTTTCCCACAGCTGTAACGTTGTTTTCTTGTGGCTTTTCTAGAAATATTTTCATTGTTACTTTTCTGGTGAATTTACCACTTTGACACCTAGACGTTAATAATTTATAGTTGAAGTGTTTATTTATTTTTTTTTGTTTTTGTTTTGTTTTTGTTTATAAAGCAATTCACCCCCAAGCAAGGCGGGAGTGCCACTAGCACGCAAGGGGTTACAGAGGATTGAGAACAAGAGTAAAGAGGCATGTTTGAGGAAAGGATACAGAGAAGGACAGGGAACAAGCTCAGGGTGTCAAATGTCGATTGACATTACACTTGAATATTTGAAGATTATAGTCATCGCGGAAGCAAGTAAGGGGAAGGGAGTTTCACGCACGGGAAGTGCGTGAGAAGAAGATGTTTGAGTAGAAGAGACGGTTACATTTAACCGTTTTGACAGTGAAAGGGTGAGATCAAGATGCCAGCCAGGTAGCTCGCTTAAATTCATGTAGTCCGGGAACCAGCGAAAGTAGCTCGTCGGAACAGTTGCCGTGAAAATACCTGTAGAACAGACAGAGAGAGGCCCTGGCACGATTGTAGACTAGATGCTAGATCAGGACCTACCATCTTGCATATTTGTCTCTTGGATTTTTAGATGTAACCGAGTTCGAATTCAAGTGAAAAAGCCCTTGGGAAAGGTATTAATTCATCTCTTCTCCCCAGCTATGGGTTGAATACTGGGTTCTTTAGCTTTGGTTGGCAACCAGCCAGAAAGAAATGGCAAACTACTGTGGGGAAAAATCTGCATCGTCAGTCATGTATCGAAAGATATATGATCGCCTTTGTGTGTATCACGTATGACACTTAACTGAATGACTGGAGTTCTATGCTAACATTTTGTTCTCAGGCGTTTCTCATTTATAAATCCCTTTTCTATCTTCTTTCTTCCCCAACTTTTGTCAACTTCAAATGTTATTCAATTGTTATCTTAATTCGTGTCGTTTATTCTTCTGTCTCCTTAATAAAGTTTTTTTTTCCCATATTCTCTCGAACTCAGGAACTCTTTGCGTATTAGTGGCTTTATTGTTTGACTTGGGGTGAAAAGATATAAAAAGGTAATAAAGATTATACGTTTACTGTACAAATGACGTCATACGAAGAAATAATTCAGAAATCTTGGATCTACGAAACGAATGTATCAGATATATTATACGCATTAGTATTATTTTTTCTGTAGGATTTTCTATCTTTCTTTCTTTATATCATTATTATATTATTATTTTCTTTTCTTTGATTTCTGGCGTTTACACATTTCTTTCCGGGTCCTGCCCAGGGACCTAAGGTTAGAAATGGCATCATGTCACTTTCCACTGACAAAAAAAAATTACATAGTGTGGCACCTTGCATTATTAGAAATATTCATAGAAATATGATTTAATTTTTTCTTACTCAGTTTATTAAACAGGTTGTTAATTTTTTTTTTTTAAACGGAAAATAACTGAGTTGAAAATAATTCACTAAGATTGTACTAGACGATCTTAAGGAAGAAGAAGGAAAGAAAAGAAAAAAAAAGAAAGAAAGAAGAAGAGAGAAAAAGAGTTGTATGATGCATGACCCAATTGAGGGTGGAGATAGGAGTCAGAAAGAGATTTAGGTCAGCGTCTTGGCCGATTTTCGAAAGACAATTGGAAGAATAGAATTATAAATAATAAGAAGAAAGAAAGGGAAAAAAGACATGATATCAAAACGGGCCGCTTGATGGAAGCCAGATATCGTCAAAGCATCTGACCGACTTTTGCGTGGAGAGACTCCTTATCAATTTGGTTTAGAACAATAGAAATGAAATTTTTAAACAGAGAAAAGTGTTTTTGGGTTGAGGGGAGTGACCGGTGGAACGATATACAGATATCCTGTTAAGAATTGGACACCCACGTTAATAAAGTAGAGTTGGAGTTGCAGTTGGAGTTGAGAGTTGGACCGCGGGCAGGGATAGAGCCTGAACGCGGCCATCAGGCCCGATTCACTCGCCCCTTTGCGGGCAGAAGAATCCTCAGACAAGAAATCCTTCCAGCCCAAGTCGAAGACAGGAGAACTTCCAGCCCAAGTAGACGAAGAAGAAGATTGCCTGAAAGCCTGAGAAGAATTGGAGATGCAGACAAGCCGAAAGTCGATGAGAAGTTAAAGTTCAGCCCCGGACGGCAGTGAGAAGAGACCACCTCAGACGACAGAGAGTTGCGGCTAAGTTGAAACAAGAAATCTTCCACCAAGTTGAAACAGGAAAACTACCAGCCTAAGCCGACGAAGAAGAAGAAATACAACTCAAGTCGGAGAGAAGAATCAACTGCGAATGATCGATAGAAATTAGCCCCAGTGTCGAACTGAACCACACTCCGACATACATACATGATTCTAGAAAGTAGGTAATTCGACATTTTTCTATTGTGTGATAGAAGCTT